GGCGCTATCTGTACGATGGAATAAACTCTGATTTCGGTGATTACCCTCCTGCGCCTGACTCCTTCTATCACACTCATCACATTTGGATGGGCCTGGAGAAATGTAAACACTCAAATTCATAGACAGAGCTATGGATGCAAGGATTGACCAACCAATATATAAAACATATAGGGCTCTATTTTCGGCTGGCGATAAAGCGGTGTTAGTGTAAAACGCACGTTAGTTTGCAATTTCATCATGTAAAAACTGGCGCACTGGCATTTTCCAGCCCTAATGCCAGGTTTGGCCATTTACCTGTATTATATCAGCTCACTTGCGTTCAGATAGGACGGGTGGAAATATTTGAGCTGTGTCCTTAAAAACATGCTCCAAAGTGCTAATTTTAGGCAACGCTGACCAACCAAAAGCTGTTTTTAGCGGTAACGCAGTTGGTTATGGCATTAATTTTGACATCCATCCGTGAAGTACACTGTCCACATGCGCATGGAACAAGAGTAGCCTAATGTGCTTTTGGTGCCTGTATACTTCGTATTTAGAAACATAAAAAACTAATGTTTTTTCCCATTTCGTTTTATTTGGTTAAAAACCAAGCAAAGCCTCCTCTCCTCTGAATGAAGGCTTTTTTTTTTGTCCTGCCCAATGCAATCGCGAAGTAGTCAAGACTGTGGATAAAGGGTTTGGCTCCTGAGACCACTTGGAAATAGATCTTAATCACCAAAGATGTATTCAAATATAAAGTTTGCGAGGAAACAGTGATTCCCTTTTTATCTATGCATTGTTGGCAGAACCACATTATTTTAGCCATGCAGGTCCCGTTTGGACGTGCGTAAAAAAAAACTCCATAATGTAGTCTACGTGTCCATGCCGATCATAAAACGAGAGATGAGAACCTCGGTGAATACCGGTGAACCTAGTATTTAGAAGTTATCTGTAACCTGTAACAATTGCTTGTTTTCCGTTTCATATGTTTCCGTTTCATATGTTCAAAACCCAGCCCTCTGTTAGGCCTACTATAACGAAGGCTGGTTCAACAGCAATGCCTGTCTTTTTTATCCTGGCGATTTTATGATATCTTTACATGTATTTATTTATTGTTGTTGTTCTTTACAAAAAACGGATTGCTTGTTTTCATTAAATTTTATCACAACCAACTTATTAGAATGATTCACCTTCCTGGTTGTATGGTGACAACGTCTGTAGCACGCATGCAATGCAACTTCTGGAGATGTGTGAATGCGATCTGATCTGTAAAATGGTTCCGATTATGTTCGTAAAACAGGCCTATTTGGGAGCAGTATAACGGTGAGTGGACATTCTCCCTTTCTCTTTTTATTGGATCTTTATCCAGCTACTGTGAAAAGTTCGGATATGCGTAAAACCCTCCATAGTCTGCGTTGTTTTAATATTGTATGCCCACGGGCAGAAATGATGGTGCCTGTAAGTGTGACATAGCCTATTTAAAACAAGTTGTTTCGTTTTGTTTAGAATTTGATTAGAATAGTTTGTTCTCTTTTTAGGCCTTCTCAATAATTAATCTAGTTTATTAACAATGTTTGGCATGTCCATGCTCATCCATAATGCAATTTACAGTAGGCCTAGCCCCTATATCAGTGTGAATGCTATTGAAGCCATACAATAGTTCAAGTTAACCTATTTAGCAAAGATAAGTCAACATTTTGTTATTTCGTTTCTGTATGCCATTTAACAAACTATTAAGGGCTAACATTGGAATTGGAGTTGATTCCAAGGCAATACATAAAAGACCATAAATACACAAATTGAAGCAACCACATATTTTGACATGGAGCACGTTCTGATTGGCCAGTGAGGAGCCAAGCCTCGAGACACCCACAACTTATGTATTCATCAAAACCCAGCCCTTTTGGGCCAACGCCAGCAAGTGCACCAATAATTGTGATAGTGAAAATAGCCATAATATTTCTGACACACCCCTGAACCTATAGTGCTACCGCCTGCGCTTAGATTTACCATTGTGTTAGGTTTGTTAAAATAGAGCCCATAGTTTTAAACATGCTTTGAGGCTATACAGAATATATTTTATACTGCTGAACATTGCATTCTATCATGGCACCATGTGTTACAATGATTAAAGCTACTGTTTTGGCAACATCTTAACTTATTTTCCTTTGAACTAACAAACAACCTGCTTGGTGGACAACGGGCAGTGAAGGCTAATTAAAGTCCAGCGCACGCTTCTAAGCACAAGTGCCTTGGTCTGTCCCGCGCCCAAGATTAGTGAGCGAGGTCCACTTCCGGTATAACCGCCTGCTCTCAGGCGGGATGACGTCGGTCTTTCGACCTTTCTCTGTCCTTATATGGTCAGGTAAATTCCCCAAGTTCCGGTATGATGTCATGTTTTCCCAAATTAGGGCATTCAGATCAAAGCAGATTTGCACACTGATAAAAATCTGTTTGAGACTCTGACCCACTTGAATATGGTGTAAATGATTATGTCTGTTTATCTAATTAAAATACAGGATCAATGTTCTTCCATAAGACTGTCCTCAGTGGTTCTTTCTAAATTAGGTCTTGTCAGTTGCCTACAGAATAAACCCTGAACAGTGACTGTCTTTTTTTACATGGGTATTAAGATCTGAGTTTGATCTACTTTGTAATATATTTGTAGTACATTGTGCCAATATTGTGTATTCTAGATACTTCTAGATATTCCTGTTTTAATTACAGGGAACATATCTTTATGTAGCGAACAATTACTTGTTTCTTGGGCATCAGATTATGTTCCTCTATGGGTACTTTTGTAATACAAACATCATTTTCTTTGTTCTATATTTTCCTCCTGAACATGGTCTTCATGACCACCAGTAATAAACTAGAGCCTGGACCCTGGAGAGCTTGAGGTTTCAACTGTGCTCATCTCATGGACAATGTCGCCCTCTAGTGAATATTTCAGAGTCCCACAGGAAATCACAGACATTCTGCTGTAGGTGCACGTTTTCTTTACAGTTTCTGTATTAGCAGGTGCTCATCGGCCGTCCTTGACAGTATAAATCCTCATCTTGACTAGCTGAATAGTTAATAAAATGTCATGATTATGCTCTTAGTTATTACAATGTGATGACTCTTCCCAGTGCTCACACATCAATATAACATGTCTGGATGCAATGCAGCCATAGGCCTTTACTCAAATTCTCTGTTTATAAATATGTTTGATTACATTAGTTACCACCATGTTTCTTCCTGTTGTTGTGTATCCCGCCAGTGTTATTGTTGTTTACAGTGATCATTTGTGTGATGCTGTGTGAGCAACCCAATAGTCATGTTGACGGGGCAACAGGAAGTTAAGTAGACACAATAGACAGTTCAGCTGTGCTATGAACTTACTGCACACTTTGGCTGCAATTCATTAAAAAGTACTTTATAAACCATTTATAAGTTATCATGATTGAGTAATTCAAGTTATTATCATAATTTACTTTATAGATTCCTGAGCTATAGCAGTGTGTGAATGTAGGCCACTTCACAACATACAGAGTATCTGTGTTAGTTTTTACCTTGTTAGATGGTGAGACTCAAGTGGAGCCGAGGTGTAAGGTGGCGCACTAATGTTGCACTCTATACACTACTGGCCTACATCCCTGCTGTAGAGGTTGACCCTATAACCACAGGTCTAGGTTCAGAATACTCATCTCCAAATCCTTACCTTAAAGACGTCCTTCAGCAATTTTTTATGTTTTACTGTTGAAAAGCGACATCCCAAGTATAAATACAGTAAAGTACACACACTAAAGGTTAAATATATATATGGTTTGAGCAAAATATATATGGTTTGAGCAAAATAGTGTTTTTTAGTCAACTGCAAACTTCTAGTTGGGCATTCAATGAGTTGGTCTGATGGGAATCTGTGATGCCATCGGCCCTCCCCTACTTGTGCTATGTCATGACTTACCTTCTTGACCACCTATTGAGATGTGCCTTTTGTTAAGTATAATCAGGTGTTAAATGAGGTGAAAAGGAGACTGGAGTGCCACTTTAACCATTAGGGGATGAATACACATCTGACCCTGGAACAGCAGTTTCTAAATAGTGAGCTGTAGTGAGCTAGAAGGGTCATTGACTCCATCACTAATGAAACTCAATCAATAACCTCAGGATCAATAAGGCACTCATGGAATGTCCCTTCAGGTACAGAGAACTGGCCACTCTCAAGATGTTGCAACGTGTTTTAGTGCACACACACCCACTCTTCCTCTCTTAACACACACAGATAATACAAGAGGCATTGTATTCAGTTCACAGATGGTTTATTACATTTTTTAAATATCGATTTGTTTCTGAAGTGCTCATAAAATGAACATGAAAACTGATACTGTATTTCTTATTACAAATAGTAAACGTAAGTACTCCAGGTGGATCTTATATACAGATAATAACAATGAACCCCATTAAAAAACGTTAGAAAAAAACAAGTAACTCTTGAAACGTTTGTTCTAACTCAATTCAATATAATTATGAATAAAAAGTACATTGTAACTCAGAAGTTGGGCAGCTTTTTGTAATCTGTTTAGAGTACACACCCTCTCCTTTGGCGCCAGGCAGTTTTAAAGTCTCTACTGCACTTTGTCTTTGATTTTCTTCTAATACTGAATTACACCGAAGGTCAATGAGTAAAAGCACAGCTTGGTCAAAGCCAACACATTTCAAGTCAATTAAAACAACACGAAACAAAACATCAGTTTGTCCTGTTTGTTGCTGTTTCTTTCTCTCTAGTACACCAGCAATTTTTATCGCGCGCTCTGCTCTGTCCCGAGCCCCAACTCTTGCGTGCAACCGTGTCCCGCGAGGCACATGGTCAGAGGCAGCCAGTCAGCCCCGGTCCCCTCCCGCCAGTCTCGTGCTGTTACTGTCCCGTTCACCCTGTCGCAATGCCACGGAGACACAGACAGCCAGTTAATTATAAACGATTTGTCCTTTTCGTTCAAACTCTTTCTCTCTATTCTTCTCCAAGTGTCCTCTCCTCCTCAGAAGGTCTGGAGCTGCTGCGTCAGCATGAGTTGACAGCCGCTGTTGACATGGTTCATCACCTTCTGTTTGAGCTGGGCGACCTGTTCCCTCAGCATATTTGCTGTGGAAGCCAGGTCGGAGTTCTGAGTCTTCAGGTTCTTCACCTTGTCCTCCAGCCGGGAGATGCGCTCCAGCTTCCGCTTCCTGCACTTGGAGGCGGCGACACGGTTCCTCATGCGCTTCCTCTCAGCTTTGATCCTCTCCTGATTCTCCATATCGATGGGGGAGACAGGAGGGGTCTCCCCGGGCATCTCAGGCACGGTCTGGGGCTCCTCTTTCAGGGCAGTGAGCCTGGGATGGGGGTGAGACTGCTGCCCATAGACAGGGAGCTGTGGCGGGGCAGAGGGAAAGCTCATAGCTGGGGCTGAGGTGGTGTAACCCGGGGCTGAGTTGGTGGTGATAGCCGGGGTGAACGTGTTCAGGTCTTCGTAGACAGGCGACTCAGAGCGCATGGTTATGTTGTTGTTATAAACAGTGCTCCCGGTCAAGGCGGAAACAGGTGGGAGTATTGTCGGGTTGTTGATGCTTGTCTGCCCAGCGGAGGTGACTGGGACCCCGGGTGCATTGGGCAAGACATGTTGATGATGGAGCTCCGCCAGAGCTCTAACAAATCCCTCGGCAAAGCCCTCCTGCTCATCAGTTACGTTCCTCGGGCAGAGGAACTGCGTCGGGGTAGGTGTGGTGGTGATCAGGCCGTTGCTGGACTGGATGATGAGCCGCTCCAACTCTGGGGAGGCCAGTTTGAGGAGCTGCACGTCCGGAGAGGTGAGGATGTCGCTGGCTTTAGCCCGGAGGTGAGGTTTGAGTGTGCTGGTTGGGTCGGCCAGGTTCAGTGTCATGCTGTGTTTCAGTGCTTTGGGGTTGCATCCGTAGCCCGGTTTCTCATGCTGGGAGAAAGAGTTGAGCGAGTCCTCGTAGAAGGTAGTTTCCATTTTTCTAGACATAGAATATAAACCAAAAACTATGCTAGAAAGGTCTCTTGTAGGCTACTCACACTGACAGAGAAGTGTGTTTCTGCCCTCTCTCCTTCTTTCAGTTGTAAAACTCTGAGAAAAGTTTCTTACTAGGTTGGGAAATCCTTATAACCTCCGAAGCGGAAACAAGAGTCTCTGGAATAGAAGCGTGCCCCTAAACAAACGTAACAACGTGCACTCCTGCTTGTAGCCTACCGCGAAAAAAATATTATCTTCAGCTGCAGCGATAGTTTCAGAACGATGTATACATTCTTCAAAGTCCTTCTTTCGCTTCTGTTCACCCTTCTAAACAGTGTCAGAATGAGACGCTCTAGGTGCTATAACTTGGTACAGTTCAACAGCAACTCTGCTCACAGGACGACTCTCTGTGTGTATACTGACTCTTCCAGCGTGGAGGCAAAGCTTATCTGCAGCCATGGCCTCTAAAAATAGACATGATGTCACCTCTGCAGTATCTCATTGGCTGCTGGCGATTTTCGGGGCGTTCCCTAATGTTTCAGATTAGGCGTGTTGCCTAGACGACCACCCAGAAGATTCTCAGTCTCGCGGTGGCTGATGGGATGAGGTAATAGAGCGAGGAGATGAAGCGCGGTGCATTGTGGGATGACGTTGTTTTTGAATATCTGGTTACATGCTTTAAGACAGTAGTTGCGGGATAGACCAGTGTGTATTCTCAATTCTTAGATGCATGTTATCCAATTTAAATGTATAGGTCTATGCTGCATTATGCAGCATATTGTTCCACAGAAAATAAACTGCCCATAGGAAACGTTTTAAATTGAGATTGAAATGAATTTCTGCTAGACAGACTTCTTCTGCCTCCAGAAACTGTGCATGATCAGCCCAGAGGTAATTGGCTACTGTTTTATGATCCATGCAAATAATGTGTTTGAATAATTGTCTCGATGAATGTCATTGTTTGTTTGATTGAATGAATATCCCAGGGCAAGCACCAGAACACATCAGTTGGACGGGCATTTTATTTCTATACATGTACATTACATTTTAGTCATTTAGCAGACGCTCTTATCCAGAGCGACTTTACAGTTAGTGAGTGCATACATTTTTTTTTTCATACTATAGGCGGGACGTTTTAATTCACGGGACCTCCTGTGTGCAATACTTTTGTTAATGGGTGTTATAATAAAGACCATAGGCAGCTCGTGAGTTTCAAGTTTGGGGAAGCTTACAATTTATCCTACCATTTCTACCTATCTGCGTGCCAGTTATGATTATTTCTATATGCGCATTTTCATGGAATAGTTTCATTTCAATAATAAGGCGTTCCTTTCTCAACATTATTGCCACGTGGTTAGTCATAAAAATCGGAATTAAAATGATTTACTTTAGGGGAAGCCAGCATCCGAACAGTGCACTGTGCGCGCCAACTTTCTTTTCTAATTCGCAAGTGGCTGAAACCAGAGATTAATATATAATGACGAGATGCTCATGTCTCCGCCCTAACAATACGCGTCATTGTCCCAAAGTCGGGAATGCAGGCGACAAACTTAGGTCTGCATATTATGCCCATGGAAACGCATTGGGTTTATTCAGGACAGATTCTCACAGAGTGAGCCCTCTCGCTTTGCCTCTTCCTCTCTGCTGAAACTAGTGAGCGAAACAGCGCCCCTCTGTCTTACTATATGTAGCCCATGTTTCTGATGCTGTCTGGCCAGAAAGAGTATGATATGCCATACTCCTTTTGAGATGCTTTATCTGAGATTGAGGAGTCTTTCTCTCGGCGCGCATCTCGGTCAAATAAATGATCAATATTTCAAGATTAGTGTCACAATATTGATACTGTACCTAGATATAGGCGTCACAAACATGATGCCTAATTTAATATATTGCATTCAATGGGGGGATGATTTCCCAACCCTAACCATAGCTTTAAATCCACATTCCAGCTCAACCTCACCTTAGACTCAACCCTAACCCTAGCCTCAACCCTAACCCTAAACTTTACATAAACTAAACCCTTCCTAAACCTAACCTTAACCCTAACTCTCGCTTCATCTCCACATCTTGGCTCAACCCTAGCCGTTACACTAACCCTAACTTCTTGTCCACATCCCGGCTCAACCCTGTTGTGGACATGAAGCTAGGATTAGGGTAATGACTAGAGTTAGGGTTTCAGGGAATTTTCTTGCATTGTAATCCTTGGGCGTTCTTTTCGGCCTACCTACATCCAAATAGTATGTGTATATATATATATATATATATATATACATATATATATATATATATACACAATACCAGTCAAAAGTTTGGACACACCTACTCATTCAAGGGTTTTTCTTAATTTTTTGACTATTTTTTACATTGTAGACTATGAAAAAACACATATGGAATCATGTAGTAACCAAAATAGTGTTAAACAAATCAAAAATCTATTTTATATTTGAGATTCTTCAAATAGCCACCCTTTGCCTTGATGACAGCTTTGCACACTCTTGGCATTCTCTCAACCAGCTTCATGAGGTAGTCACCTGGAATGCATTTCAATTAACAGGTGTGCCTTCTTAAAATTTCAAGAACTTTGAACTTTTCTTCAAGTGCAGTCGCAAAAACCATCAAGTGCTATGATGAAACTGGCTCTCATGAGGACCGCCACAGGAATGGAAGACCCAGAGTTACCTCTGCTGCAGAGGATAAGTTCATTAGAGTTACCAGCCTCAGAAATTGCAGCACAAATAAATGCCACAGACACATCTCAGCATCAACTGTTCAGAGGGGACTGTGTGAATCAGGCCTTCATGGTCAAATTGCTGAAAAGAAACCACTACTAAAGGACACCAATAATAAGAAGAGACCTGCTTGGGCCAAGAAACACGAGCAATGGACATTAGACCGGTGGAAACTTGCCCTTTGGCCTGGAGTCAAATTTGAGATTTTTGTTTCCAACCGCTGTGTCTTTGTGAGATGCGGTGTGGGTGAACGGATGATCTCCGAATGTTTAGTTCCCACTGTAAAGCATGGAGGATGAGGTGTTATGGTGTGGGGGTGCTTTGCTGGTGACACTGTCTGTGATTTATTTAGAATTCAAGGCACACTTAACCAGCATGGCTACCACAGCATTCTGCAGCGATACGCCATCCCATCTGGTTTGGGCTTAGTGGGACTATCATTTGTTTTTCAACAGGACAATGACATAACACACCTCCAGGCTGTGTAAGGGCTATTTCACCAAGAAGGCGAGTGATGGAGTGCTGCATCAGATGACCTGGCCTCCACAATCCCCTGACCTCAACCCAATTGAGATGGTTTGGGATGAGTCGGACGGCAGAGTGAAGGGAAAGCAGCCAACAAGTGCTCAGCATATGTGGGAACTCCTTCAAGACTGTTGGAAAAGCATTCCAGGTGAAGCTGGTTGAGAGAATGCCAAGAGTGTGCAAAGCTGTTATCAAGGCGAAGGGTGGCTATATGAAGAATCTCAAATATAAAATATGTTTTTGATTTGTTTAACACTTTTTTTGGTTACTACATTATTCCATATGTGTTATTTCATAGTTTTGATATCTTCACTATTATTCTACAATGTAAAAAATAAATAAAGAAAAACCCTTGAATGAGTAGGTGTGTCCAAACTTTTGACTGGTACTGTATATATTTCAATATATTTACGGGATGGAAAAATGCTTTCAGTGTAAACGTTAATGACTAAAACCAGATATAAAGTATGTAGAAAAGATAATAGACCTATATATTTTTCGATAATATAATCTTTGAGAACAAAAAAATAAATAAAAATACAAGCTAGACAGTCAGGGAGAATTGAAAATCACAGCTTTAGCCATGGAGCAAATTGTAGAATTGCAGGAAATTGGCTTAAAATGCTAACATTTTTCTACACCGCCATCTTGTTATACACCACATCACAAATTAGATATTTTATCTGTATGTGTGTCTGTCTGAGGAGCATGAGAGGAATAGTGAATTTAATCAGGATAGTATAAACAGCAATAATCACCACTGTTTTCCAGAAGTCCTGGGATCCATGAAAAGATGGAAACCTGCAGATGACACGGTATGTATAACAAACATAACATACTGTACAACACAACATATAAAAACACCCATATTGCTTTCTATCGGAGTGGCTTGAAGTGGAGATTCTGTTTTTCATTTGTTTGAGGTGTCATAATTCAGTCGAGATACTAAAAATCCCCATCAGGTTTGGCAGGATTTGCATGTCAGTTGGCATGCCTCTGTTCCTTCTGATGTATCATATCATGCCCAGGGCCAAACGGAATCTTCAAAGGTAGAATTCCCCCCCGCAAATAAATGTCATCTACAAAGAGACAACAGAAATACATAGTTTTGTTGATTAATTGTACAGACGACACTTGGTCAAAAAGGAGAGTAGAAGCAGGGGAAAGAGGGGACCTCGGGAACTGGGCATACAGTCTGGGCATACAGTCTCACCCTCAAACTGTTTCACATGGCGTCTCAGGCTGGTGGCCAGACACACACGCGTGTACACAGCACACATTCATTCACCCGTTTGAGGTATAACATAAAATAACTTTTAACAAGGACACACTCCTGATCACACACCAGTACACAGTGGGTGGTGTGTGCATGGGCGGTGTGTTTGGTTTGTCATGTAGCCTGTCATAGGGTGCGGCGGTGGCCTCTTGACGGTGGTCCTCTTGGCGGTGCCCATCCCCCACATATGCTGAGATGGTCAAAACAGTATACCTGGGCAGGGTAGTCTACACAAACACAGACATAGACACCTATTTACCTAGACACCCAGTAAAACACTATGATTATATTTGGCTGTGGTTTTCAAACAATTTTAGCTATACAGTATGGCCCACCTAAAGCTTTAGGAGTTTTCTCGGGACCCACCAAGTGAACAAGACCAGTTTCTTTAGCCAGACTAAAGTAGCCAGCCCAAAGGAGTTAGTCACGACCCACCCGCCATAGATGACCATGGTAGAAGAGCTCTAACACCACACGTGTGG